AAAAAAAAAAAAAAGCTAAATAGTGACTACGATGTTGGACAGAGCAGGAAATAGTCTCTGCATGTAAAGGCTAGATGGTTTGTCTTATATAATAGTCACAGTTTTTCAGTTGCTCAAGTACGCAGTTTGTACAAGGAGTATCATTGTTGTCCAAGGAAGATGTTTATTTAAACTACACATCTTCTAGTACCCAGTGCATAGGCATAGAATAAAAGAGTATGGCTGAAATATTTGAGGATGGGATAAAAACTAATGAAATAAGTTAATTAAGTAGGTCTTTAATGAGCAATAAGAAGCTCTGTGAGAAACTTGTTTAATGTTTTTCAAAGGGATTGTTTATTTTTTGTAAACATGTTATTTTGTATCAGCACAGCAACAATGTCATATTCTAATTTAAAAACAAAAGATAATTCAAATAGCAGTAAACCACTCCATTCACTGGCCAACTGCACATTTGAAGAATTGTTTGCCTCTGCTTCCATGGTTTCAATAATTTCCAGAAACTCTTCAACCATAGCTAATAATGCATAGTGGACAAAATGCCAAAATATATGTACCTATATATTATGCTCTCGCTTTTCTGTAAAATGTTCTGAAAAAATGCTAGTACCTTTGTAGATGGCATGAATAGTGTTATATCAACTATTAAAAGCATTTTGGAGTTAATTACTGCTTCATCGAAGAGAGGTTCATAAAATTGTGTTTATGAAGCTCTTAGTTTTTGTTCCATAAAGTTAGTTGTAACTAACTTTAAATTTTCCCCCTATAATGCCACTTTCATGGACTTGGCCACACATTTTATTCATATCATTTTGTGTTTTGATATGAGCCAGTTTATTAACAATCCTCTGAAAGTTGGTTCCTATGAACTCCTCAACAGTTAAATTCCAGAGTTTCTCTTTAATTATGAGTATCTGAAGTTTCAGTAGTTATGTATAAATTAGTAGAGGAAACACAGCCATTTTTTTTTAAATAAACAGGAAACACTGGCTTCATTCACAGTGTTCTGCAATGTGTCCATTCTTGTAATTCCAGTTATTTATGTTGAGTGTGTACATTTTATGTTAGCTATCTTTAAACTTCAAATACTTCTTTTTGTTACTATTCACTCCATTTCTAAGAACTCCTAAATATTCCCCCTTTTTCCCACAGATGAACTAGACACATCATGGGATGGTTATGCTTTTCAAGAAATAAAATATTTTAATATATGAAATATTTTAGATGAATTAATATATATGAATTTCTGCATCACTGGTCTATCCTTAAACCAGTTACTGTGTGGCTAGAGAGATACAGTGCTTTGTTTCAGTTAGTCCTGAGTCACATGCCCACAACCAAGGGTGGGTCCACACCTCTGAAACCACATTGCTTAAGTGGAGAAATGCGATACTCCTAAACATGGTGATGGAGGAGGGACACAGAGCAGGGTGATTTTTCAAAAGAAAAGGGGAATGAGTGTTGTGCACCAACAGTGATAGCTGTCTACTTCAGAGAGTAAAACCTTTAAATACTAAGTGAAGCTGTACAAGTGTGGACATGAAAAAAAGCATTGGGTGGGTAGGTAGACTGAGCACCAGCTAAATAAAAATTGTGCAGTTAAAAAGTTATTTTTCTCTGTTATAATTTTCTATCTTAATTAAAAAATTATTTTTGCTTACACTGTTGACAAACAAGAGAATTGTACTTTACTGTTCGGTAGCTTTATGTAATTTTGATACCTTTTTATTTATTTTTTTGACCATTATAATTTTTATCTCTTCTGAGGATGTTGGAAAATTAGAAATAATAATGAGTCATGAATCAAGCTCAAAATTTAAGATATAAGGAACTTTTCAACTATAGAATAAAGC